AAACATATTTTGTTTTTCTTGAACCTTAAAAGTCTTAAAAGGATTAGACGGGTCACGTTTTCAGAGACGCTGACATCGATTCACGATTGCAAAGAAAATGTTTCGGTGATAAATATTGAGACACAAAATAGAAGGTCCTGGGTTCGAATCCCGGTCGGACCAGGGCCTTTCTGAGTGGAGTTTGCATGTTCTCCCCGTGTCTGCGTAGGTTTCCTCCGGGTACTCTGGTTTCCCCTACCACTAAAAATATGTCCAATAGTTCTGGCATGCGCCTCCTGTACTGGCCCCGCTCCCATCTCTGTGTGGAGTGAGAGACAAATGCCCAAAATTAACAATTGTAAACCGCTTTGTGACTCAGATTTGCAGTGAAAAGGCGGTATATAAATAAAGATTACTTACTACTACTACTACTACTACAAAATATATGGCTCCGTTCATTAGTTAAATCAATACAGTATTTATTGTGACGAGCCTCGACTTTGCCTGTACCACATTTGTGTTTCCTGTTGGGTCGTGTGTGTTAAGAGCAGAGTCCGTATAAGAGAGTGTGACATCACCTAGTGCAGGGGTCTCCAACCTGTAGCTCGGGGGCCACCAGTAGCTCGCCAGCCCCTTACAGATAGCTCGCCAAAGGAATTAGAATTGAACAAATACACTTGAATAAATACTTTTTGAGCCCTTACACATCTATAATAAGTATAAATACAGAGTTATACAGTATGATGGTATATTTTGCATATGTTCTCCATGTTTCGTTGTGATTATTAGATAGATTTTTATTACGACTGCAAAAAGGAGTAGCTCTCTGCCTCTTCGTTTCTATAAGAGTAGCTCTCTGATTGAAAAAGGTTGACCTAGTGTTAGCCAAAAGCAGAAGAGGCCAATTTGAACACAAGCCGATTTCTTTATGTTTTGATGACAGGGTTAGCTTTGCAGACGTGTTGCTAACACAGTTGCTAAGGCAAACTGGGAATGGCATCTGATTGGTCACTCCTCAGATGGCTCAGATCACAGAGAGCGCTAAAACAGTGAGTGGGACACAAACGGTTACTGAGCTGGAGGAGTTTACAACAGGAGCCAGAGAGAGATGGAGCAGAACTTTGTCCATGAGCACTTCCCTATTGGGCTTCACTGAGCTAGCAGGTCAGCATCGTCCACCGTTGCTGATATTAGTATTGACAAACAGTGCCTTCTGAAGCCTGCTCGAGTCTGCTAAAGATTCTAAAGCTCGTGGCCATAACTCTGAAGCTGAGCAGGGCAGGGCCTGGTTAGGACTGATGGGAGACCAACATCAGGAGTGAGCGGCTCTAAAGTCCTTAGGCAAGACACTTCCCCCACATTAGAATGAGTCTGGTGTGTGTGTGAACGGTTGGTGGTGGTGGGAGGGGCCGATGGCACAGACTGGTGGCCTCACTTCTGTGTTAGTGCCCCAGGGCAGTTGTGGCTTCAGTTGTAGTTTATCAAGAAGAGTACATGTGAAGTGTCTTTGAGTGTCCAGAAATGTATTATTATTATTATTATTATTATTATTATTATCACCCGGGTCTTGTTGCTGTGATCCTCTGGGGAAACAGCATCTCTAACAGCGGCTGGAGAATCACCAAAGGCAGTCGCTTCAGTGTTGGACACAAACACCAGCTCTTCTCTTGCTGCTGTCAGCCTGTACAACAAACACTGCATGTGGTTCGGTTCAGTTTATCCTTCTTCACAATATCACACATTTACTCATACATTGAGTTTGTACCCATTTTTTGTGACACTGTGAACAAAAACTGGACACCGTCTGAAGCTACATAAGCTCCTGGGGTCCAACAACATAGAGATAAACAGAAATGAGGCAGTCTACTCCTGGGTTACATGTTTTAGAATAGATTGATATAGACCTTTATTGTCCCCTGAGGCAAATCCATCTCCACAGACACTGTCACAAGTAACACAGAAGGAAATGACAACAATACAATACACAAAAGTACACAAACAATACACAACAAAGTCAATGCAGGGACATGGACAAAGTCTTTCTGCTTCTACCTTAAAGTAGCAATATGTGAGATCTTCATCATTAAAAGGCCCTAACCTGTCATCGTTAAAGGGCTCTAATCTGTCATCATTAAAGGGCTCTAATCTGTCGTCATTAAAGGGCCCTAATCTGTCATCATTAAAGGGCTCTAATCTGTCATCATTAAAGGGCCCTAACCTGTCATCATTAAAGGGCTCTAATCTGTCATCATTAAAGGGCTCTAATCTGTCATCATTAAAGGGCCCTAATCTGTCATCATTAAAGGGCCCTAATCTGTCATCATTAAAGGGCCCTAATCTGTCATCATTAAAGGGCCCTAATCTGTCATCATTAAAAGGCCCTAACCTGTCATCATTAAAGGGCTCTAATCTGTCATCATTAAAGGGCCCTAATATGTCATCATTAAAGGGTCCTAACCTGTCATCATTAAAGGGCTCTAATCTGTCATCATTAAAGGGCCTTAATCTGTCATCATCAAAGGGCCCTAACCTGTCGTCATTAAAGGGCCCTAATCTGTCATCATTAAAGGGCCCTAACCTGTCATCATTAAAGGGCTCTAATCTGTCATCATTAAAGGGCTCTAATCTGTCATCATTAAAGGGCCCTAATCTGTCATCATTAAAGGGCCCTAATCTGTCATCATTAAAGGGCCCTAATCTGTCATCATTAAAGGGCCCTAATCTGTCATCATTAAAAGGCCCTAACCTGTCATCATTAAAGGGCTCTAATCTGTCATCATTAAAGGGCCCTAACCTGTCATCATTAAAGGGCTCTAATCTGTCATCATTAAAGGGCTCTAATCTGTCATCATTAAAGGGCCCTAACCTGTCATCGTTAAAGGGCTCTAATCTGTCATCATTAAAGGGCCCTAACCTGTCATCATTAAAGGGCTCTAATCTGTCATCATTAAAGGGCTCTAATCTGTCATCATTAAAGGGCCCTAATCTGTCATCATTAAAGGGCCCTAATCTGTCATCATTAAAGGGCCCTAATCTGTCATCATTAAAGGGCCCTAATCTTTCATCATTAAAAGGCCCTAACCTGTCATCATTAAAGGGCTCTAATCTGTCATCATTAAAGGGCCCTAATCTGTCATCATTAAAGGGCCCTAACCTGTCATCATTAAATGGCCCTAACCTGTCATCATTAAAGGGCCCTAATCTGTCATCATTAAAGGGCCTTAATCTGTCATCATTAAAGGGCCCTAATCTGTCATTATTAAAGGGCCCTAACCTGTCATCATTAAAGGGCCCTAATCTGTCATAATTAAAGGGCCCTAATCTGTCATCATTAAAGGGCCCTAATCTGTCATCATTAAAGGGCCCTAATCTGTCATCATTAAAGGGCCCTAACCTGTCATCATTAAAGGGCTCTAATCTGTCATCATTAAAGGGCCCTAATCTGTCATAATTAAAGGGCCCTAACCTGTCATCATTAAAGGGCTCTAATCTGTCATAATTAAAGGGCCTTAATCTGTCATCATTAAAGGGCCCTAATCTGTCATCATTAAAGGGCCCTAACCTGTCATCATTAAAGGGCCCTAATCTGTCATCATTAAAGGGCCCTAATCTGTCATCATTAAAGGGCCCTAATCCGTCGTCATTAAAGGGCCCTAATCCGTCGTCATTAAAGGGCCCTAATCTGTCATAATAATAAACTGCTCTTTTCCAATCCTTCTTTAACAGTAGTTCTAAATTACTTTTCCAGCCCCTAAATCTTGTTATTGTTTTCATTTCGATGTCCCGCCCTCCACCGTTTCACCAATCAGAAAGTCTGTGATCCGGGCGCCAGAACTCACCGCGTGGAGCTAATCTCACTGGTAAAGTACCATGTGGCGCAGAACTAAAAAAGGTCTCGTTATGATTCTCAAATCATTAACGACAAAACAAGGAATAAAACCAGGATTTCTATCTTTGTGAAAAAGGTGTTGGTTATAGATTTGTTGTTGACAAAACTCTTGTCTATTCAGCTGTTATGGTCCCAGCTGGATTTGTCTGCATATCTGGCAACCTGAGTCAGGGAGAGTGGGAGAGGCTGCAGTACCACTTTTGGCCACATTTTTACAAACTGCTCCTTTAATGTTCTGTATTTGCGTCCTGAAAGCAGAGGGAGGTGGGTATGGAGAGAGGCTGGTCTGAGTAAAATATTCTCTATGGTTTTTAATGATCATGATTGTATGTCTCTGTCTGTAGCAGTGTCTGTTCTGAAGCCAAAGTCTGGATCCTGGAGCCGTGTCGCGTAGGTAGTTGCACGTTGTTGGGCTGCAGCTGGAACACAGGAACTTGGAACTGCCTGAGTCACACAGCCTCCACAGCGCACAGTTGTCGATTCGCCAACACAGATCAGAGAATAAGAGATCCAGGACTGAGGCTGTAGACCCAGGACTGAGGCTGTATACCCAGCACTGAGGCTGTAGACCTAGGACTGAGGCTGTAGACCCAGGACTGAGGCTGTAGACCCAGGACTGAGGCTGTAGACCCAGGACTGAGGCTGTAGACCCAGGACTGAGGCTGTAGATCCAGGACTGAGGCTGTAGATCCAGGACTGCAGCAATTAGAAAAATTAGCTCCAAACTAACAAACACACACACACACACACACACACACACACACACTCCATCAAACCAGCAAAATGAGTTTAACATTAACATTCCTCCCTCATGCTTTATGTCCCTTCATCGATTAATCTCTTTGATTCACGGAATGCCGCATTAAAGTTTCCCATAATGCTCCAGTGATTCACGCGCGATTAATAAATGGGGTCAGTCCGTGTAATTGCCTAAATCTATAAGTTCACAATCCCCGCTTCTGTCGGTATTTCTTTGGCCCGCGACACTTCCGCAGATAGCGCTGAGCGAGCAGAAGCAAAGCTCACAAACCGTAAAAAATGTATCTTTACGACGCTCTGGGGGACGCCGTGATATAGGATCAGCTGAAGCTAATTACGGAGAGGGTCAGCGCCATCTGCCCCCCCCCCCAGCTCACCCTCCACCCCCCTCCCTCTGGAGATGAGCCGGTCCCAGATATGATATGCTGTCGCGCTTTATGAAGTGCGGAGCGCAGAGAGAGAGCCGTAAATTCAAGGCCCGGCGTTCGGCGTCTGCAGGAGGTGGTGGTGTCTGCAGGAGGTGGTGGTGTCTGTAGGAGATGGTGGAGTCTGCAGGAGGTGGTGGTGTCTGTAGGAGATGGTGGAGTCTGTAGGAGATGGTGGTGTCTGTAGGAGGTGGTGATGTCTGCAGGAGGTGGTGGTGTCTGCAGGAGGTGGTGATGTCTGTAGGAGATGGTGGAGTCTGTAGGAGATGGTGGTGTCTGTAGGAGGAGGTGGTGTATGTAGGAGGTGGTGTCTGTAGGAGGTGGTGTCTGTAGGAGGTGATGGTGTCTGTGGGAGGTGGTGGTGTCTGTAGGAGGTGGTGTCTGTAGGAGGTGGTGTCTGTAGGAGGTGGTGTCTGCAGGAGGTGGTGTCTGTAGGAGGTGGTGTCTGTAGGTGGTGGTGTCTGTAGGAGGTGGAGTCTGTAGGAGGTGGTGTCTGTAGGAGGTGGTGGTGTCTGTAGGAGGTGGTGGTGTCTGTAGGAGATGGTGGAGTCTGCAGGAGGTGGTGCTGTCTGTAGGAGATGGTGGAGTCTGTAGGAGGTGGTGGTGTCTGCAGGAGGTGGTGGTGTCTGCAGGAGGTGGTGGTGTCTGTAGGAGATGGTGGAGTCTGTAGGAGGTGGTGGTGTCTGTAGGAGGTGGTGTCTGTAGGAGGTGGTGGTGTCTGTAGGAGATGGTGGAGTCTGCAGGAGGTGGTGGTGTCTGTAGGAGATGGTGGAGTCTGTAGGAGATGGTGGAGTCTGTAGGAGATGGTGGTGTCTGTAGGAGGTGGTGGTGTCTGCAGGAGGTGGTGGTGTCTGCAGGAGGAGGTGGTGTCTGTAGGAGATGGTGGAGTCTGTAGGAGATGGTGGTGTCTGTAGGAGGTGGTGGTGTCTGCAGGAGGTGGTGATGTCTGTAGGAGATGGTGGAGTCTGTAGGAGGTGGTGCTGTCTGTAGGAGGTGGTGTCTGTAGGAGGTGGTGGTGTCTGTAGGAGATGGTGGAGTCTGTAGGAGGTGGTGTCTGTAGGAGGTGGTGGTGTCTGTAGGAGGTGGGGTCTGTAGGAGGAGGTGGTGTATGTAGGAGGTGGTGTCTGTAGGAGGTGGTGTCTGTAGGAGGTGATGGTGTCTGTAGGAGGTGGTGGTGTCTGTAGGAGGTGGTGTCTGTAGGAGGTGGTGTCTGTAGGAGGTGGTGTCTGCAGGAGGTGGTGTCTGTAGGAGGTGGTGTCTATAGGTGGTGGTGTCTGTAGGAGGTGGAGTCTGTAGGAGGTGGTGTCTGTAGGAGGTGGTGGTGTCTGTAGAAGGTGGTGGTGTCTGTAGGAGGTGGTGATGTCTGTAGGAGGTGGTGGTGTCTGTAGGAGGTGGAGTCTGTAGGAGGTGGAGTCTGTAGGAGGTGGTGGTGTCTGTAGGAGGTGGTGTCTGTAGGAGGTGGTGGTGTCTGTAGGAGATGGTGGAGTCTGCAGGAGGTGGTGATGTCTGTAGGAGATGGTGAAGTCTGTAGGAGATGGTGAAGTCTGTAGGAGATGGTGGTGTCTGTAGGAGGTGGTGGTGTCTGCAGGAGGTGGTGGTGTCTGCAGGATGTGGTGGTGTCTGTAGGAGATGGTGGAGTCTGTAGGAGATGGTGTTGTCTGCAGGAGGTGGTGGTGTCTGTAGGAGGTGGTGTCTGTAGGAGGTGGTGGTGTCTGTAGGAGGTGGTGTCTGTAGGAGGTGGTGTCTGTAGGAGGTGGTGGTGTCTGTAGGAGGTGGTGGTGTCTGTAGGAGGTGGTGGTGTCTGTAGGAGGTGGAGTCTGTAGGAGGTGGTGTCTGTAGGAGGTGGTGTCTGTAGAGGTGGTGGTGTCTGTAGGAGGTGGTGAGTGTCTGTAGGAGGTGGAGTCTGTAGGAGGTGGTGTCTGTAGGAGGTGGGTCTGTAGGAGGTGGTGTCTGTAGGAGGTGGTGTCTGTAGGAGGTGGTGTCTGTAGGAGGTGGTGTCTGTAGGAGGTGGGTCTGTGAGGAGGTGTGCTGTAGGAGGTGGTGAGGAGGTGGGTCTGTAGGAGGTGGTGTCTGTAGGAGGTGGTGTCTGTAGGAGGTGGTGTCTGTAGGAGTGGGTCTGTAGGGGTGGTGTGTCTGTAGGAGGTGGTGTAGGAGGTGGTGTCTGTAGGAGGTGGTGTCTGTAGGAGGTGGTGTCTGTAGGAGGTGGTGTCTGTAGGAGGTGGTGTCTGTAGGAGGTGGTGTCTGTAGGAGGTGGTGTCTGTAGGAGGTGGTGTCTGTAGGAGGTGGTGTCTGTAGGAGGTGGTGTCTGTAGGAGGTGGTGTCTGTAGGAGGGGCTGTGAGTGGTCTGTAGGAGGTGGTGTCTGTAGGAGGTGGTGGTGTCTGTAGGAGGTGGTGTCTGTAGGAGGTGGAGTCTGTAGGAGGTGGTGTCTGTAGGAGGTGGTGTCTGTAGGAGGTGGTGTCTGTAGAGGTGGTCTGTAGGAGGTGGTGTCTGTAGGAGGTGGTGTCTGTAGGGGTGGTGTCTGTAGGAGTGGTGTAGGTGGTGGTGTGTGTAAGAGGTGGTGTCTGTAGGAGGTGGTGTCTGCAGGAGGTGGTGTCTGTAGGAGGTGGTGTCTGTAGGAGGTGGTGGTGTCTGCAGGAGGTGGTGTCTGTAGGAGGTGGTGTCTGTAGGAGGTGGTGTCTGTAGGAGGTGGTGGTGTCTGTAGGAGGTGGTGTCTGTAGGAGGTGGTGTCTGTAGGAGGTGGTGTCTGTAGGAGGTGGTGGTGTCTGTAGGAGGTGGTGTCTGTAGGAGGTGGTGTCTGTAGTAGGTGGCGCTCCCTGTGTATGTGTAGGTTTCCTCCAGGTGCTCCGGTTTCCCCTACCACTAAAAACATGTACAATATGTCTGACAGCGCCTCCTACTGTCCATTTAATGAGTAAGATGGTTAAGGTTAGGGTTAAGGTGGTCTGAGTAAGATGGTTAAGGTTAGGGTTAAGGTGGTCTGAGTAAGATGGTTAAGGTTAGGGTTAAGGTGGCCTGAGTAAGATGGTTAAGGTTAGGGTTAAGGTGGTCTGAGTAAGATGGTTAAGGTTAGGGTTAAGGTGGTCTGTGTAAGATGGTTAAGGTTAAGGTGGTCTGAGTAAGATGGTTAAATCCCTTGTAGGTGGTGGTGTCTGTAGGAGGAGGTGGTGTCTGTAGGAGGTGGTGGTGTCTGTAGGAGATGGTGGAGTCTGTAGGAGGTGGTGTCTGTAGGAGGTGGTGGTGTCTGTAGGAGATGGTGGAGTCTGTAGGAGGTGGTGTCTGTAGGAGGTGGTGGTGTCTGTAGGAGGTGGTGGTGTCTGTAGGTGGTGGTGTCTGTAGGAGGTGGTGTCTGTAGGAGGTGGGGTCTGTAGGAGGAGGTGGTGTCTGTAGGAGGTGGTGTCTGTAGGAGGTGGTGGTGTCTGTAGGAGGTGGTGTCTGTAGGAGGTGGTGGTGTCTGTAGGAGGTGGTGTCTGTAGGAGGTGGTGTCTGCAGGAGGTGGTGTCTGTAGGAGGTGGTGTCTGTAGGTGGTGGTGTCTGTAGGAGGTGGTGTCTGTAGGAGGTGGTGGTGTCTGTAGAAGGTGGTGGTGTCTGTAGGAGGTGGTGGTGTCTGTAGGAGGTGGAGTCTGTAGGAGGTGGTGTCTGTAGGACGTGGTGCCTGTAGGAGGTGGTGGTGTCTGTAGGAGGTGGTGTCTGTAGGAGGTGGTGTCTGTAGGAGGTGGTGTCTGTAGGAGGTGGAGTCTGTAGGAGGTGGTGTCTGTAGGAGGTGGAGTCTGTAGGAGGTGGTGGTGTCTGTAGGAGGTGGTGTCTGTAGGAGGTGGTGTCTGTAGGAGGTGGAGTCTGTAGGAGGTGGTGTCTGTAGGAGGTGGAGTCTGTAGGAGGTGGTGTCTGTAGGAGGTGGTGTCTGTAGGAGGTGGTGGTGTCTGTAGAAGGTGGAGTCTGTAGGAGGTGGTGTCTGTAGGAGGTGATGTCTGTAGGAGGTGGCGTCTGTAGGAGGTGGTGTCTGTAGGAGGTGGTGTCTGTAGGAGGTGGTGGTGTCTGGAGGTGGTGTCTGTAGGAGGTGGAGTCTGTAGGAGGTGGTGTCTGTAGGAGCTGGTGTCTGTAGGAGGTGGAGTCTGTAGGAGGTGGTGTCTGTAGGAGGTGGAGTCTGTAGGAGGTGGTGTCTGTAGGAGGTGGAGTCTGTAGGAGGTGGTGTCTGTAGCAGGTGCTGGTGTCTGCAGCAGGTGCTGGTGTCTGTAGGAGGTGGTGGTGTCTGTAGGAGGTGGTGTCTGTAGGAGGTGGAGTCTGTAGGAGGTGGTGTCTGTAGGAGGTGGTGTCTGTAGGAGGTGGTGGTGTCTGCAGGAGGTGGTATCTGTAGGAGGTGGTGTCTGTAGGAGGTGGTGTCTGTAGTAGGTGGTGTCTGGAGGTGGTGGTGTCTGTAGGAGGTGGTGTCTGTAGGAGGTGGAGTCTGTAGTAGGTGGTGTCTGTAGGTGGTGGTGTCTGTAGGAGGAGGTGGTGTCTGTAGGAGGTGGTGGTGTCTGTAGGAGGTGGTGACTGTAGGAGGTGGAGTCTGTAGGAGGTGGTGTCTGTAGGAGGTGGTGTCTGTAGGAGGTGGTGGTGTCTGTAGGAGGTGGTGTCTGTAGGAGGTGGTGTCCGTAGGAGGTGGTGTCTGCAGGAGGTGGTGTCAGGAGGTGGTGTCTGTAGGAGGTGGTGTCCGTAGGAGGTGGTGTCTGTAGGAGGTGGTGGTGTCTGTAGGAGGTGGTGTCTGTAGGAGGTGGTGTCTGTAGTAGGTGGCGCTCCCTGTGTATGTGTAGGTTTCCTCCAGGTGCTCCGGTTTCCCCTACCACTAAAAACATGTACAATATGTCTGACAGCGCCTCCTACTGTCCATTTAATGAGTAAGATGGTTAAGGTTAAGGTTAAGGTGGTCTGAGTAAGATGGTTAAGGTTAAGGTGGTCTGAGTAAGATGGTTAAGGTTAGGGTTAAGCTGGTCTGAGTAAGATGGTTAAGGTTAGGGTTAAGGTGGTCTGAGTAAGATGGTTAAGGTTAGGGTTAAGGTGGTCTGAGTAAGATGGGTTAGGGTTAGGGTTAAGGTGGTCTGTGTAAGATGGTTAAGGTTAGGGTTAAGGTGGTCTGAGTAAGATGGTTAAGGTTAGGGTTAAGGTGGTCTGAGTAAGATGGTTAAGGTTAGGGTTAAGGTGGCCTGAGTAAGAATGGTTAAGGTTAGGGTTAAGGTGGTCTGAGTAAGATGGTTAAGGTTAAAGGTTAGGGTTAAGGTGGTCTGAGTAAGATGGTTAAGGTTAGGGTTAAGGTGGTCTGAGTAAGATGGTTAAGGTTAAGGTGGTCTGAGTAAGATGGTTAAGAGGGTGTGGTGGTTCTGTAGGAGGTGGTCTGTCTGTAGGAGGTGGAGTCTGTAGGTGGTGGTGTCTGTAGGAGGTGGTTGTCTGTAGGAATGATGGTGTCTGTAGGAGGGTGGTGGTGTCTGCAGGAGGTGGTGTCTGTAGGAGGTGGTGATGTCTGTAAGAGGTGGTATCTGGGAGGGTGGTGTCTGTAGGAGGATGGTGTCCGTAGGAGGTGTAGGTGTCTGCAGGAGGTGGTGTCTGTAGGAGGTGGGTGTCCGTAGGAGGTGGTCTGTAGGAGGTGGTGGTGTCTGTAGGAGGTGGGTGTCTGAGTAGGTGGCGCTCCCTGTGTATGTGTAGGTTTCCTCCAGGTGCTCCGGTTTCCCCTACCACTAAAAACATGTATACAATATGTCCGCACAGCCGCCTCCTACTGTCCATTTAATGAGTAAGATGGTTAAGGTTAGGGTTAAGGTGGTCTGAGTAAGATGGTTAAGGTTAGGGTTAAGGTGGTTAAGATGGTGTATGGGTTAGGGTTTAAGTGGTCTGAAGATGGTTAAGGTTAGTTAAGGGTTAAGATGGTTTTAGGTAAGGTTAAGGTGGTCTGAGTAAGATGGTTAAGGTTAGGGTTAAGGTGGCCTGAGTAAGATGGTTTAGGTTAGGGTTAAGGTGGTCTGAGTAAGATGGTTAAGGTTAGGGTTAAGGTGGTCTGAGTAAGATGGTTTTAGGTTAGGGTTAAGGTGGTCTGAGTAAGATGTTTAAGGTTAGGGTTAAGGTGGTCTGAGTAAGATGGTTAAGGTTAGGGTTAAGGTGGTCTGAGTAAGATGGTTAAGGTTAGGGTTAAGGTGGTCTGAGTAAGATGGTTAAGGTTAGGGTTAAGGTGGTCTGAGTAAGATGGTTAAGGTTAGGGTTAAGGTGGTCTGAGTAAGATGGTTAAGGTTAGGGTTAAGGTGGTCTGAGTAAGATGGTTAAGGTTAGGGTTAAGGTGGTCTGAGTAAGATGGTTAAGGTTAGGGTTAAGGTGTCTGAGTAAGATGGTTAAGGTTAGGGTTAAGGTGGTCTGAGTAAGATGGTTAAGGTTAGGGTTAAGGTGGTCTGAGTAAGATGGTTAAGGTTAGGGTTAAGGTGGTCTGAGTAAGATGGTTAAGGTTAGGGTTAAGGTGGGTCTGAGTAAGATGGTTAAGGTGGTTTGGTCCCCCCCCCCCCCCCCCCCCCCCCCCCCCCCCCCCCCCCCCCCCCCCCCCCCCCCCCCCCCCCCCCCCCCCCCACCTGGAGTGAGATGGTGGAAGGTTAGGGTTAAGGTGGTCTGAGTAAGATGGTTAAGGTTAGGTTAAGGTGGTCTGAGTAAGATGGTTAAGGTTAGGGTTAAGGTGGTCTGTGTAAGATGGTTAAGGTTAGGGTTAAGGTGGTCTGAGTAAGATGGTTAAGGTTAGGGTTAAGGTGGTCTGAGTAAGATGGTTAAGGTTAGGGTTAAGGTGGTCTGAGTAAGATGGTTAAGGTTAGGGTTAAGGTGGTCTGAGTAAGATGGTTAAGGTTAGGGTTAAGGTGGTCTGAGTAAGATGGTTAAGGTTAGGGTTAAGGTGGTCTGAGTAAGATGGTTAAGGTTAGGGTTAAGGTGGTCTGAGTAAGATGGTTAAGGTTAGGGTTAAGGTGGTCTGAGTAAGATGGTTAAGGTTAGGGTTAAGGTGGTCTGAGTAAGATGGTTAAGGTTAGGGTTAAGGTGGTCTGAGTAAGATGGTTAAGGTTAGGGTTAAGGTGGTCTGAGTAAGATGGTTAAGGTTAGGGTTAAGGTGGTCTGAGTAAGATGGTTAAGGTTAGGGTTAAGGTGGTCTGAGTAAGATGGTTAAGGTTAGGGTTAAGGTGGTCTGAGTAAGATGGTTAAGGTTAGGGTTAAGGTGGTCTGAGTAAGATGGTTAAGGTTAGGGTTAAGGTGGTCTGAGTAAGATGGTTAAGGTTAGGGTTAAGGTGGTCTGAGTAAGATGGTTAAGGTTAGGGTTAAGGTGGTCTGAGTAAGATGGTGAAGGTTAGGGTTAAGGTGGCCTGAGTAAGATGGTTAAGGTTAGGGTTAAGGTGGTCTGAGTAAGATGGTGAAGGTTAGGGTTAAGGTGGTCTGAGTAAGATGGTTAAGGTTAGGGTTAAGGTGGTCTGAGTAAGATGGTTAAGGTTAGGGTTAAGGTGGTCTGAGTAAGATGGTTAAGGTTAGGGTTAAGGTGGTCTGAGTAAGAGATGGTTAAGGTTAGGGTTAAGGTGGTCTGAGTAAGATGGTTAAGGTTAGGGTTAAGGTGGTCTGAGTAAATGGTTAAGGTTAGGGTTAAGGTGGTCTGAGTAAGATGGTTAAGGTTAGGGTTAAGGTGGTCTGAGTGAAGATGGTTAAGGTTAGGGTTAAGGTGGTCTGAGTAAGATGGTTAAGGTTAGGGTTAAGGTGGTCTGAGTAAGATGGTTAAGGTTAGGGTTAAGGTGGTCTGAGTAAGATGGTTAAGGTTAGGGTTAAGGTGGTCTGAGTAAGATGGTTAAGGTTAGGGTTAAGGTGGTCTGAGTAAGATGGTTAAGGTTAGGGTTAAGGTGGTGTGAGTAAGATGGTTAAGGTTAGGGTTAAGGTGGTCTGAGTAAGATGGTTAAGGTTAGGGTTAAGGTGGTCTGAGTAAGATGGTTAAGGTTAGGGTTAAGGTGGTCTGAGTAAGATGGTTAAGGTTAGGGTTAAGGTGGTTTGAGTAAGATGGTTAAGGTTAGGGTTAAGGTGGTCTGAGTAAGATGGTTAAGGTTAGGGTTAAGGTGGTCTGAGTAAGATGGTTAAGGTTAAGGGTTAAGCTGGTCTGAGTAAGATGGTTAAGGTTAGGGTTAAGGTGGTCTGAGTAAGATGGTTAAGGTTAGGGTTAAGGTGGTCTGAGTAAGATGGTTAAGGTTAGGGTTAGGTGGTCTGAGTAAGATGGTTAAGGTTAGGGTTAAGGTGGTCTGAGTAAGATGGTTAAGGTTAGGGTTAAGGTGGTCTGAGTAAGATGGTTAAGGTTAGGGTTAAGGTGGTCTGAGTAAGATGGTTAAGGTTAGGGTTAAGGTGGTCTGAGTAAGATGGTTAAGGTTAGGAGTTAAGGTGGTCTGAGTAAGATGGTTAAGGTTAGGGTTAAGGTGGTCTGAGTAAGATGGTTAAGGTTAGGGTTAAGGTGGTCTGAGTAAGATGGTTAAGGTGAGTCTGAGTGAGATGGTTAAGGTTAGGGTTAAGGTGGTCTGAGTAAGATGGTTAAGGTTAGGTTAAGGTTAGGGTCTGAGTAAGATGGTTAAGGTTAGGGTTAAGGTGGTCTGTAGTAAGATGGTTAAGGTTAGGGTTAAGGTGGTCTGAGTAAGATGGTTAAGGTTAGGGTTAAGGTGGTCTGAGTAAGATGGTTAAGGTTAGGGTTAAGGTGGTCTGAGTAAGATGGTTAAGGTTAGGGTTAAGGTGGTCTGAGTAAGATGGTTAAGGTTAGGGTTAAGGTGGTCTGAGTAAGATGGTTTTTAAGGTTAGGGTTAAGGTGGTCTGAGTAAGATGGTTAAGGTTAGGGTTAAGGTGGTCTGAGTAAGATGGTTAAGGTTAGGGTTAAGGTGGTCTGAGTAAGATGGTTAAGGTTAGGGTTAAGGTGGTTCTGAGTAAGATGGTTAAGGTTAGGGTTAAAGGTGGTCTGAGTAAGATGGTTAAGGTTAGGGTTAAGGTGGTCTGAGTAAGATGGTTAAGGTTAGGGTTAAGGTGGTCTGAGTAAGATGGTTAAGGTTAGGGTTTAAGGTGGTCTGAGTAAGATGGTTAAGGTTAGGGTTAAGGTGGTCTGAGTAAGATGGTTAAGGTTAGGGTTAAGGTGGTCTGAGTAAGATGGTTAAGGTTAGGGTTAAGGTGGTCTGAGTAAGATGGTTAAGGTTAGGGTTAAGGTGGTCTGAGTAAGATGGTTAAGGTTAGGTTAAGGTGGTCTGAGTAAGATGGTTAAGGTTAGGGTTAAGGTGGTCTGAGTAAGATGGTTAAGGTTAGGGTTAAGGTGGTCTGAGTAAGATGGTTAAGGTTAGGGTTAAGGTGGTCTGAGTAAGATGGTTAAGGTTAGGGTTATAGGTGGTCTGAGTAAGATGGTTAAGGTTAGGGTTTAAGGTGGTCTGAGTAAGATGGTTAAGGTTAGGGTTAAGGTGGTCTGAGTAAGATGGTTAAGGTTTATTGGGTTAAGGTGGGTCTGAGTAAGATGGTTAAGGTTAGGGTTAAGGTGGTCTGAGTAAGATGGTTAAGGTTAGGGTTAAGGTGGGTCTGAGTAAGATGGTTAAGGTTAGGGTTAAGGTGGTTCTGAGTAAGATGGTTAAGGTTAAGGTTCAAGGTGGTCTGAGTAAGATGGTTAAGGTTAGGGTTAAGGTGGTCTGAGTAAGATGGTTAAGGTTAGGGTTAAGGTGGTCTGAGTAAGATGGTTAAGGTTAGGGTTAAGGTGGTCTGAGTAAGATGGTTAAGGTTAGGGTTTAAGGTGGTCTGAGTAAGATGGTTAAGGTTAGGGTTAAGGTGGTCTGAGTAAGACTTGGTTTAGGTTAGGTTTAAGGTGGTCTGAGGTAAGATGTTAAAGGTCCTGTGGTCTCTCCTCCTGTGGTCTCTCCTCCTGTGGTCTCTCCTCCTGTGGTCTCTCCTCCTGTGGTCTCATCTCCTGTGGTCTCTCCTCCTGTGGTCTCTCCTCCTGTGGACTCTCCTCCTGTGGACTCTCCTCCTGTGGACTCTCCTCCTGTGGACTACATTAGCATTTCTTTAGCATCTACATTAGCATCTACGTTAGCATCTACGTTAGCATCTACGTTAGCATCTACGTTAGCATTACGTTAGCATCTACATTAGCATCTACGTTAGCATCTACGTTAGCATCTACGTTAGCATCTACGTTAGCATCTACAATAGCATCTACAATAGCATCTACATTAGCATCTACGTTAGCATCTACGTTAGCATCTACAATAGCATCTACATTAGCATCTACGTTAGCATCTACGTTAGCATCTACGTTAGCATCTACGTTAGCATCTACATTAGCATCTACGTTAGCATCTACGTTAGCATCTACGTTAGCATCTACGTTAGCATCTACATTAGCATCTACATTAGCATCTACATTAGCATCTACGTTAGCATCTACGTTAGCATCTACGTTAGCATCTACGTTAGCATCTACGTTAGCATCTACATTAGCATCTACATTAGCATCTACATTAGCATCTACGTTAGCATCTACGTTAGCATCTACGTTAGCATCTACGTTAGCATCTACGTTAGCATCTACGTTAGCATCTACGTTAGCATCTACATTAGCATCTA